GGGGGGTAATAGGACCTTAGTAAAGGTTAGGTGTGTCTCTGGAATTTCGGGCATAGACTGAGGGGTACTTATACATTTTCCGTAAAATTTATATGAAACTAGATAACTTTTAACATAACGAAAAGGCTGATATGGCATACCTCTTTGGCCAGAATCTCTTATTATCTTTTTTCTCAATTTTTGGGGATTCATTTCTTATAGTAGGATTTAAAATATTAATGGTGATCTATTTATATTATTCCTCACTATTACTATTGACATCTCTTATCCTAATTTTTTTTTACTTTCCTTGTATTGCTTAAGTTTCTGTTAAAAAATGTAGCAATCAATGTAGTAAATAGTAATTATAAAAAATTAATGGTGATCTATTTATATTATTCCTCACTATTACTATTCATCACTTCTCCTAAAATTCTTTTACTTTCTTTTTCCCTTAGTTACGTTTCTGAAAGGAAATGTAGAAATTAATATAGTAATTATGGGATTTAAAAGGTAAATTTCATTACAAATTAATACTCTTTTCGTCTTATATTAGATGGACATTTTTTATTTTATAAAATAATTAAAAAAATATTAATAAATTAATTAATTTTACAATTTTACCCTTTATTCATATTAATTACTCATTAAATTTGAAATTAATTAATACATATAGTTAATACCATTTTATTTGGAATTAAACTGTACAGAACAATTGATGTATGGAACAAAGAAAAGAAAAAGAACAATATAATTGATCAATAAACTTTAATTCTTAGAATTGATAAAATACATGTCAAATTATGAATTGATCAAATCAACTTCCCTAAGGTATAAAATAATTTTTCGATTTTTTAAAGCCAGTCCATCGATTTCACAAAAGCTACGAAGAAAAATTCGATAATGCATGCCATTAATTTAGCATCGATTTTCTTTGAAAAAAATAATCCAGTTTTATCGGTCACTCGATTTTGGCCCTTAATTTTGATCCAATTTTAGTAGTGCCAAAAGCTCTTGTGTTTAGGAGTCTAATTTAGTCTTGTCAAAAATTAATAAATAAGTAAAACATAGAGTACTTTCATGTCTTTTTAGTTTTACTTTCAAACTATATATCATATAATATTAGACTTATTTGAGATTAAGCGATATAAATAGTGATAATTTATACAACATTTTATTTGGGATTAAAGTGTATAAAATGTTAATGTGGGGAACAAAGAAAAAGAAAAGAGAAAGGAATATCAATGAACTTTTATTTTATTCATAAAATTGATCAAGTACATATATCAAATTGTAGATTGATCAAATCAACTTCACTAAAGGGAATATAGTTCAACATATACTATATTATAAACTTTAATTTCCAAATTCCATGCTCTATAAAGAAGCATGTTAAAGATTTCTTGATGTCCTTATCAAATCCTGAAAATCATAGTACAAAAAATCATAAAATAAAAGTCATAAAGTATTTACTACACTATTATAAACATACGAATTTTCGATGAAATTTCTAATAAAAAAAACCGTCAGAAATCTTTCGACTAGTCAAATTTCTGATGGAGGTCTATCAAATATTTGACTGTATTTAATAGGGATTACTAAAATTTAAATCTTAAATTCATTTACAGATACTAATATTACTTACTGGACGTAATCAATCTTGATAACACCAGCCACAGGATTTGCGATAGTCGAAAAAACTTCTTTAGAGAGATCTAGGGTTCCACCACATCCAGGACAATGGTCAACAATTTTCACAACCATACTCTTGCCAGTACAAGGGTGTGGCACAGGATTTGTTGGTCCAGTACATGTCACATTAAATGTTTTTCCACATATTTTTCCATCAGCCCATAGAGGATCACTAGCAGCTGCTATTATTGTACCTTGGGGTGTGCTTCCATAACACGCCGAGGCTATCGATCAGAAAAATATTTTTAAAATTATCAGTATACATAAATTAAGTTGAAAAAATAGAAATTAGCGATCGTCGCTAAAGAATAAATACTTACGAACATAGTTAGTATAAAATGTTGCAGTCCCTGGTGTAGCCAAAACTATAGAGAACAAAGTTGCCACAAAACCAATAATAACAAGAATAATATTTTTAGGAATTGCCATTTTTTTTTCTAAAAAAAAACTTTTATTTTGTTTCACTAATATATTTACTTATCCCAGTAATCAACTACCTTTTTATAGGATTTTCATTGATAAAGTTGTTAAAAGAATGAAAACAATTCATTTATTATTATTGACTTATGGGATAGGTAGTTAATAAAAAAATATTTTGACTATATCTACAAATTACTACTATATTTATTGAGGTTTGTTAGTTAATTAGTACATATCACTTCATGTGATAAGGTATAGTTAAATAATAAACTTTATTTATTAATCCAAACATATGATATTTTCAGATTATGGGTTAATTCATACTCTAGTCTCTACTAGAGTTATCAATATAAGCTGATCCAGTTTGAAATTTATCGGGCCAAATCAAGCTAACCCAATAGTTTGATGGGCCAAAAGACATCAAGTCTAATCCATTATTATGTGGGCTACAAGTTATGCCGGGCCATTTAAATTCTAACTAAAATGTTAACATAAATATTTACAAGATGATATTACATGATTTTACTATACAAATACCTTGAGTATAATCCTGCAAAAAAAATGATCTTCTTGGACATAAAATTTCTATGAAACTAGATACTATTGACATGATATATATCGGCAAACCGATTTGAGATATTAAATGAATGGAATTGGGATATGGATGGAATATAATGAAATAGAGCCACTTTGAGGTTCCCTCTGAAATGAGGGATGTAAGGGAGCTCTTGCTGGAATAACCAGTGCTAGTTACTTGACTGTTGGAGGAGAAACCACTGTTAGAAATGTTCACGTAGAAGCTCCTCTTTCATCTGCAGGTATAGACTTCTTTGGGCCGGAGTCAGATCAGTAGGGGAGTTCACACCGGGACTTTCAACATAGAGAAAGAACCCATACCCTGAACCGGGGAAAGGCGATAAGGACTTTAATGTCATTCTCAACTCTATCCCTGACTGGGTCTTTGATTTCAGGCCCTTTTGAGGAGGGAATAAGCAAATTTAACAGTTAATGAATATCAATATAACTAGCTAAGTAGAAATATCAACTTTAATTCTTACAATTGATAAATTACATATGTCAAATTGTGAATTGATCAAATCAACTTCCCAAGGGAATATAGTTCAACATATACTACAGTATAAACTTGATTTCCAAGCTCCATATTCTATAAAGAAACATTCTAAACATTTCTTGATATCCTCATCAAATCCTGAAAATCATAGAACAAAAATCATAAAACATGTCATAAAGTATTTAATACACCAAAAAAACAAAATAAATATAAAGGGTTCAACTGAATTCAACATTTTCTTAAGATATACGAACCTTTGTATGTTTTTCATAGTGATTAATAAAATTTAAATCTTAAATTCGTCTACTGATACTTATAGTTACTTACTGAACGTAATTAATATTGATAACACCGGCCACAGGATTAGCAATGGTTGAAAAGGCTTCTTTAGATAAATCTAGGGTTCCACCACATCCAGGACAATGATCAACAATCTTCACAACAATACTTTTGCCAGTACAAGGGTGTGGCACAGGATTTGTTGGTCCAGTACATGTCACATTGAATGTTTTTCCACATATTTTTCCACCACCCCATAGAGAATCACTAGCTGCTGCTATTCTTGTACCTTGGGCCTTGTTTCCGTAACACGCTGATGTTGTCGATCAGAAAAATATTTTTTTATAATGTCTCTGTATATAAGTCTATATCGAGTTCATAATAGTCAATAAATGAGCTAGCGATCAGAAAAATCATGTTAGCTATGGACTATTTAGTGATACGTCAACAACGAATATTATAGCTAATTGATTTTAATTTTATTTAGTAAAATTTTAAGAGAAATACTTACGAACATATTTTGTATAAAATGTTGCATTCCCTGGTGTAGCCAAAGCTAGGGAGAACAAAGTTGCCACAAAACCAATAATGAGAATTGTTGACACCCAATTTTGACCCTCCCCGATAATAATTAATTTCCGAGTTTCTTAATTTTCAAATGATTTAAAATAATTGACTTTATAAAATTCAAAATATTTTTCAAGTTAGTTTTAGATGGTTTGCCACTTTTTATAATTTTTAAATAATGTGTGTATAATTTTGAACTTTATAAATATTCAAAAATCGTCTCAAAATATTTTGTTTAATCAAACATTTGGTTAGTTTGTTTAGTTATTTAATTGTTTACAATTTTGAGTTAATTAGTTAGTTTATAATTAAGTTAATTATTATATAATTATGTGTCTAATTAGTATATTTTATGAATGTTCAAAAATTGTCTCAAAAGGATTTTAGCTTTATTTAAACATTTGGTTATTTAGTAGTTTATTTTGTTAGATTAATTAGTTTATAATTAAGTTAATTATTTTATTTCGTTAAAGATTAATAAACTCATTAATTAATTTTATATTAATTCGTCTCATTTAATTACTAACCGAATTTACTAAATGAATTCAATTCGGCTACATTCCTAATTCATCGGCTAAATTTGTAATGTAATTGACCACTCGATTCGGTTAAGATTGTAACTTACTAGCCATTACATTTTTTCTCAATCAATTAAAGGACCAATTTTGGGCCTTCTATGTTTCATGACCAGCAGCCCACATTCCAACAATTCCATACCTTACATTCAACAATAATATAATAATACAACAGTACCAAGAGCTCCCTGTACGTTTGGTCTCTTCTTTTGTTATTGTCCAGCAACAACAATTCCAGCCGGCCCACGTTTTAAACCCCGACCCGACCCTTTTCTAATTCACAAAGAAAGTCAAAAGTGATTTCCAGCAGCTTCCAAACGTCTCAGCAACAATTCACGGCGTCCTCTCATCCGCTCCAAACGACATCAGCAACAACGAGCAAACGACGTCGAGTACACGTCAAAATACACGGTGAATTCACGAAAAAGCAGTGAGGAACGCAGTACACTGCTCCTCTTTGTCGTCTCCTTCACGTTCCCTCTGAACAGTGCAGTCGCAGCAGCTGCTGTAGCAGCGCAGGGTCGTCCTTGAGGACGTGGGATCGAGACACGTAGCACCTCAAGGACGACGAAATCGGTCAAGACCGTCGATTCGCACTTTCCTCTTTCGGATTTGGGCGAAATTGCAAGAAAACTATGTTTGCCTCTAATGGTGAAAAAGGTTTGAATTTCGAATTTGGGCTTGGGTTTTGTTCGATTTTTCATCGGTTCCCTCTTCTTTGGGAACCCTATTCTCCTTTCTATATATTGCTCTTTGTACACTGTAAAGGGGGGGATTTGGGGAGTCAAAATTTTTTTTGCAAAGAGAGACAGTGAAAGAAAAAAAAATATATATATACACAAGAAAGGAATTAAAAGTTCACAAAGAACAGTAGGAAAAATATAAGTAGATTCCAGAACGATAATAACTTTTCGGGGTTCGGTGCTTAGGGAGGTTCAAGCCTTCATTGGAGTTCTCTGTTATTAGTGGTAGAAAGTCTTGCTCTGCTCGAGTTCTCAGTTTGCTGCCCGAAAAGAGGTAATCTCGCCCCCTCGCCTTACATTTCTATATAGTATGGGTTATGTATTTGATATCCAGCGGAGTTCAGTTATTAGAATTAGTCGATTTTCTCCGTTTTAGACTTTGCTTTTCAGTTTTCGTTTCTCTTGTGAGTTCTTGATACCGTGAACATGAAGTAAATATTAGCGAAATTCTTTGAGGTTCATTTAGCTTCGACTTCGAATGCATTAAGCTATCTAGTTTGTTTCTTCATTGTTCACTCGTTGGTTTGGTTTTCTTCCTTGTTGGCTAATTCATCGTTATAGGCTCTCACCAACGCTAGCCTAATCCCGTAGTGCTTATCTGTGTTCTTACTTAACTCGAATATTGTTCATGTCTTTTCGCATCTTCAACTCATGATATCATGTCTGTGACTTACCTTGGTCTCGTTTCAACCCGGTTCTTAAGCTTGTTGTTGGTTTAATTATAAATGTGCGTCAAACCTTTTATGTGTTAGAACTGTTTCGGCTCAAAATGTAATCAATAATACGTTGGATTCCTCCCTTTCCAAATGATGTGTTCTTAATAATTTCACAAATCTGCTTATTTAGTTGTCTTTGATGCATGAGCTTTTCTGTTCCTGTATGTATCTGTCCAGCCTGGGTTGTTTCCTTCTTCTTCTCCTAAAATGGCCTCTGTTCATCTCATTTTGTCGGCTTCGAGTCACAGTCTAAATTTTGAATCTCTGAAGCTAGTGTACTTAAGTAGTTTGCTGCTAGACTTTTGTTTATGGTGTTTCCTCTTTGGGAATCAGTGCTAGCCGTTGTATTTCTAGAATCTGGTCTTTAATAATGTTTGATATATAGGCTTTGCTATCTTGTGCATGGAGTTGACTATCTTTTAAAAAAAAAAAAAAAATCTTGCTAGCTAAAATCGAGTTAAACTGAGTCAGTAATTGGTTGTTCTCAAGCTGTTGAAATCTTAATTGTCTATTCGTTGATTCTTGTTATTTGCCGTGCTATTTGTTCGCCAAATGAACAGTAGTTATTTTGCCTTCTTAGGCCATTATCAATTCATCCATTGCCAATTGATTGCTATATTATATAATTTCAATTTATTCATTTTGTTTTATGTTAGTGTTAGAAGAATGAGTAAAGATTTGGATATTGACACGTGTGATTAGTGTAATTATCTAATTTTTATGATGTTTGTCTTTTCATTAAGTGCTGCTTTAGGTCTTTAATCCTTTCATATTTTTGCAAATAATCTCCCTTTGGTTTTAATTTATGTGGCACCTCTTGAATGTGGAGAGTTAATTTTTAATAAATTTTAATTAAAATTTGTAATAATAATAATAATAGTAAGATTTACGTATTTAAAAAAAATATATATATATGACAAGTCATAATAATAAACCATTCTAGAATATTTAAAATGCATTTTGACTAATCGTTTAGAGTGTTTTTTTTGTGTTTAAATAGTACTTTTTTTTTATATATGTTTTGAATATCTATGTTTTAAAATTTAAATATTAACTTATTTTAATCTAATTTAATTTTAAAAAAAAATAATAATTTATGACGAGTATTTGAAATAAAGGGAATAGTGAACTACCTCCTTATTTAAATTACGTGACTATTTTTGAAAACTATGCACATTAATTTATAAAAGGTCTACTGGACTTAATCACATTAATTTATAGTTAACCTTCTTGCCTTTTTATATGGTGATATGCATACTCCAATCATATATAAAATATATTATTAGCATAAGATGGCAATTACAAATAGTTCAGGGCATCAAGTTATGATAATAAGTTCTTTTTTTTTAAAACAATAAAAATAAAATAAATATGGATAGAGATAGGGAATAAAAGAACCTCTATTAATGGAGGCGAATTCAACCCTTCGTTTCAATTATAAAAGATAATGTTCAATCCGTTGGTTTATACTCATCTATGTTATCAATATATACTTTTATGTAGGACCCGTGCTTGCACGGGTTCGCCATCGTCTAGTACTTGAAATATGTTTGAGTATGTGCCCTTGGATACATTGCTATTTACTATTTCATAATCGATGAGTCATGTTATCGTTTAAAGCTAAGGTTCGAAAGATCTTATTATTATTGGATACTAATTATTATTTTTTCATTTTCTCGCTGCATGTGAAATCTTCCTGAGTCCTCATGGACTCTACCTTTGCATTTTCTCATTGGCCCGGGGAGGCCCAATCCCTTATTCGAGTCTACCGGCCATTGAAAATTGACGTACAGGTCCTGGAGTTAAAAAAATAATAATAATACTGAAGCAGATCGGAGAACTGAGAAGATTGGGCCAAAGGCCCACTCTTAAATCCAAGATTGTATTTTGTTACTTGTTGGGCCTAAGCCCATTTAGTTATTATTATTATTATTTCTCTTAGAAGTTTAGGACAGGTGAAATTGGGCCTAAGGCCCAAATAATATTTTATTTTATGTTAGTTTAAGACAGGTACAAAGGTGGCAAAAATCGGGCCAAAAGGCCCAAAATGAAATTAGGCCCAAATACTGGCCTAGGCGAACAGGAAAACCAGATTTGGGCCCAAATCTCTTTCCCTCCTTTCTTTGTTGTGTTTATTTACTCGTCATTATTTGCTATTAATCTTAAGGTTTTAAAATCTTCAAATCCCTAAAGGACACTTATTTTGAACTAATCACTTAACTAAATTATTCGTTTCTTACTCGACTTAAAAAATGAGTAAATAAATAAATAAGTTTACAAAATACTTCACTTGGATAAATATTTTTCTCTTAAGACGATCCTAACTATAAAATAGTTCAATTTTGCAATTTACAGTTAAGTTAAATTATTTTAGCCAAATAATTAATTGTCGGATAACCGCGTATTAGCGGACATTTCGGGTGCTTTCAAACCCTTCCCGAAATGTTAATATGAACCCCGAACCCCTTTGAACATTTTCATTAGATTTCTGTTTAATCTTTTGATGAAATAAGTTTTCTTAATTTCCCTTTAAAAATTAAGTGGCGACTCTTAAACCGGTCCAAAATATATTAAATAAAACAAGAATAAAATTATTTTTAGGAATTATTGTCATTTTTGTTTTCAAAAAGTTTTATTTTATTTCACTGATATATTTATCAATTCAACTAGTAATGCAATACCATTTTATAATGTTTTAATTGGCTAAAATTTGTTAACCACTTTTACTAGAATTAAGGCAGTTCATTAATTATGTGTGCTTTTTATGTCTCTACTATATTCATATATGCATTTATATAGTAATTAAGCTAATAAAGAACATTGATTATTAATCAAATTATTAATATAATTTTAGATGAACGACATGTGTCCTTTAATTTAACACATGTAAAATGCATAGACCTCTAATTAAATTTTATATTAGTTACTTTGATACTAAAGAATGACCATCATGATACAATCAAATTATGATCAAGATTAATGATTAACCTTCTGAAGGGTTGAAATATAATTTTTTTTAAAATAGGTTAAGGTTTGAACGTGTTCACATGAATTCAAATCAAATTATTTTAAGCCTAATTCATAAAATTCTGGACAGGCTGGACGGATTACCCATGTTTGGATCCATTTTACAAAAGACAGAGATAGAGAAGGGATTTGGTCCATTTTAAAGTGTAAAATTGCAGTTGAAGAGTATAAATAAAAACGATGAAAATATTTCATTAATGAACATGTAAGGTTGAATGGTAAAATTGACCAAAGTCATTGAAAGTATTTGAGTTCGATTCTAAGTAGCTACATTTCTTATGTATATTTTTAAAGACCAACCATGTTTGTTGGTTTTTTAAAACTAAAGAAACACGATAGGCCAGAGAAGTTTCTCTATCAGTTTCACAAAATATATGAAGTCAAAATCGATGATACACAATCCATTTAATTTTTATTAAAAACTGACTTTGTCCGTTGATTTTTACCCTCAATTTTGACCCTTTTTTAGTAGTGCCTTATGGGACAAAGCTCTTGTGTCTAGAAGTTGTTTAGATCCATATTAGATGTGTCTACTTTGTGTTATAATCTTTAAGGAGTCTAATTTTGTCATGTCAAAGATTAATAAATAAGTAAAACATAGAGGATTTTCCGTGCCTTTTAGTTTTACTTTTAAGTATATATCATATAATATTAGATTGATATCAGATTAATCGATATAAATAGTGAGAATTCATATAGTTATCTTATTTGGAATTAAAGCATATAAATTATTGATAATGTGTGGAACAAAGAAAAAAAGAAAGGAATACCAATGAACTTTTATTCATAGAATTGATCAAATCAACTTCACTAAGGGAATATAGTTCAACATATATAAAAAAAATTGCTTGCTTTTAATAGTGATGCTAAAATTTAAATTTTAAATCGATCTACAGATATTAGTCATTACTTACTAGACGTAATCAATCTTGATAATACCGGCCATAGGATTCGCGATGATTGAAAAAGCCTCTTTAGAGACATCTAGGGTTCCACCACATCCAGGACAATGGCCAACAATCTTCACAACAATACTCTTGCCAGTACAAGGGTGTGGCACTGGATTTGTTGGTCCAGTACATGTCACATTAAATGTTTTTCCACATATTTTTCCATCAGCCCATAGAGGATCACTAGCTGCTGCTATAATGGTACCTTGGGGTGTGCTTCCATAACAAGCCGACGCTATCGATCAGAAAAATATTTTTTAAATCATCA